CGGACGGTCGGACGGTCGGACGGTCGGACGGTCGGACGGTCGGACGGTCGGACGGTCGGACGGAAGGCCGGTCGGACAATCGGACAGACAGACGGACAAACGTTTTGAACGAGCTTTAAATTGTTAAACTTATAATAAGACAATAGGAGATTGCACAAACGTTTGCAAACAATATCATTTATTAACATGCTAGTTAGTCATTACGCCGTGTACAATGTTAACTATAAATATGACTTCATTAAAATCAAAATGCAAACGTTCTCACAAATTTATGAAATTTAAATAAAATAAAATAAAATAATGTTCGTAACATAAATAATACATTTTAACATAAATTAAGATTAATTTTTTTGGTGTCCCGATATTTAACATTAAATTGGGATTGTAAGAGTTAAGAAAGATTAAAATTAATAATGACTAGAAATTATTATTGATTATTTTGAGTGATAATTATCTGGTATAAATACCAATCAATACATACAGAATACAGAATACAATTCATACAGATCGTAAATATATGATAATTTTAATTGATATACTCCCAAGAGGTGTTTATTTTAAAAAAAGCTATATAAAAATCCAATTAAAAAAAATTCTCATTTTTTACCCTTGGTTTAAGTAAATCCATTTATAGATAAAATGTATTTCATGTCTTCTTTTTCTAAAACATATTCATGTTCGTATGCAAATATATCGATAAATTTGTCAAAAATCGACAAATGTAACCTATAGTACTAGATGCACGTAGAAACCAACCTATTTCTATTTATTTTAATCTTATACTGCAATGGATCGCAAAAATAATGATGTCCAAGGCGCGAGGGAGATTATCCACGCCTGATTCCTTCTGTCAATATTAACATGTTTTAAAATTGAAATTCGTTTTCTGTTTCAATGAATAATTTAGGTTCATATTTCTTTCGAAAATTTAATCGATAACTTTTCCTTGTAAATAAAGATATAGAATATTTTTACGATAGAAAGATTGTAATTAAATCGCCATACGGTATAATTTCATCACCGTAATTACAGGGCTGTTGACTAATGATAATCTCACATCATAAATAAGGCAATGCTGTCAGCGTATTTCGCAGATGGTCAACAAGCTAGTAGCTCAACAATCATACCGAAGATTGGCTCTCCGCATTTCACAGTACTCTAAAAGGAAGTGAAAGTTTGCATGCGTCATGTGAATGTAGGTTTCGCAATGCTTTACACAAGTTCATATTAAAAAAAAACTTTAAAAATTTGCAACTTTGATCGAAATAGGGTAAATATGTGAGAATTTCAGGTATAATCTTAAAACCGTTTTTACTCTCTCTTACTTTGTCAGCAAGTTTTGAATGAAGAGAATGAAGTGGAATAAATTAGATAATGGTTATTTATGATACGACTGGAAAAAGAGGCATTTTATTTTGCGAGTAGAAAATGTTGCGAGACGATTCCGATAGGCCGAGTGGCACAATCATACGAGCTAAATAAAACTACTCTTACAATGTTTCATACATTATTTTTACTTCCTCTGCTACTCCTTACGCAGTATAGATAAGGTATTGTAACGCTGCAGGGAAAAAACGGCGATATTTCGATAGAAAAAATTCAAATTGCCAGGGCCTTGCTATGAAAAAGTGGATAAATTTTCTTCCCATATGTAGTAAATTACTTTCTCTAACACGTTGTATACTCAGAATCTACGTTTGATGGTTCCTTAGTTCCGAAAATTCGAATGACGGCAAACTCCGTCGGACTGTCCGTTAGTGAACAACGCTAGCGGCTAATCCGTAAACACGATTTTCACCGAATTTGATATTCCCCGATCGATCTGACTGATATCGCGACCCCTTGAGTATGAAATGTATATTTTGCTATTTAGGAATGAGAAAATTTGAAAATTTTCTCAAAAGTGGCTCGAAATTTTTTTTCTTCTTCTTTCATTTGATAGAGAAACAGACATTTAAAGAAAGAACGCAGGTTGCCTTTTCGTTGAACTCCTTAAATTTTCAGACATTGCAAAACAATTCAAACTATTTTCTGTGTCTTTGTTCATCTACAATAATGAAGAATGAAATCTGGAGGGACACACAGGAATACGTTTAGCCGTTAATATATTTTTCCGTGTCAAAGACCTACGAAACGGATTCTGACTACAGAATATGTTTGAGGAAGTAATTTGCTACATATATGAGCAGAAGATTTATGCACTTTTTCGTAACCAGGGCCCGGTAGTACTTTTTTTCTGATGAAATTTGGCAGTTTTCCAGCGAACGATTCTCAATACAATACTTTCCCTTCTTACGAAGTAAAGGCGAGAAGAAAAAATACGACAATCTGAGTGAAATGTACGTTAACGTATTTAATAAACAAAATAGTTTTTACTATAAAATACAGACATTTATAATTTAATATTTTGACATATCATTATAACGACTTACTGATGTTAATAATAAAAATACAGCTAGAATGTATTTCGAGAACAACTGTGAAAGAGCATCTTGTCGGTGAAACATTAGTTAAAACTGAAACTCAGGGCCTACAACTTCAACTTGTTAATCTTTTAAACATGATACATTTTATTTGTATTTTACCAAAATGGTTTCTGCACCGCATCTCTTCGATTTTGACTGCTGCAGCGCCATCTATACGAAGCAATGTCAATCTCTTATTAACGACGGAACGCCTGGTGAGTAGTGCTCTCTGTGAGCGAAGTGTCAAACAATTCGACTACCCGCGAAATACGGTTTTCTCGTTGTACAAGGTCGACTATCATGAATTTTCTACAGAAGTTAAACCTGCTAAGTGTGTGTTTGTGTGGACTGTCTTAGAGACCAAGTTAGTTAAATAGTAAGACCGTTCTGTTGTGTAGAAGTGGTTTAAAAGTGGTATATTAGATGTATCGATTTTTGCATTTTTTCCCCATTTCTGATCATCGGAGTGTAATAAACTTTCCAGACTAATTATGTTTTTAATTTATTATTAAATTGATATAAACACGTTCGAGAAGTTAGGTTTTACATTTTAAGCCGTTTTCTGGTAATCATATTAGATTATTATTAGTGGCGAGGCGTGACATTCTTTTACGTATAATAGTCATAACCAGTATCATAGTCAAATATCTAGGCCCAGGTCTCAGAAGCGATTGGGAGATGGCGTATCCAACATAGTTTTTGCAGGGAGTTCTGTCATAAACACTCAAACAACGCTAATATTCTTTGGTATTATACCTCCACATTATTTTCAATCAATCTTTTATACACTGAAATTGATATTGGTAAAGAAGTCTTCGGTTCGTTGGTCCTCTGACCACGGACGCAATGGGGAATTAAAGTCTGAGGAGGACAGCCAGAATTCTTTGGATGATGAATATATGAAATATTTTGTTTTTTCGTGAGATTTAATTGATATTGAAAGAGAACTTAAAATACAAAATCCAGCAGAAGCCCAAACATTTTTAAAGCACCATTTGTTGCCCTTGCTTTCTATTTTCAAAACATCTTTGGCACTTCCACAGAGCTACCTGCAAATGTCGTACCTAGACACCATAATGTGCTCGATTAAAACTTAATATATTTTGAAAACTTTAGCTGTCGAATATAATAATGAAGAGTAGGATCAGCCTTTCTGCATTGTCAAAAGCTGCTTATCGTACATATGTGAACGAAATGTTTTTTGTTTCAGCTCAACTAAAAGTTTGTCTTATTTTTTTCCCAAATGATGGCAATTAATAGAACTTTCATAATACAAAACTCGAAGCGTCCAAGAATCAAGGTGCCCTCAAAACACACCGCACCACCTTTTCTATTGTAAGAAATCGTTCATAAAAGAGCATTTTACAGTACAAATTATGACGTGTTAGCATTTTATAGCACGAAATTTTAAATAACATTACTTTTTTGTAATTTTACTATTTAATACATTACTCTGTATATTTGTGACATGTCAGGCGGAAGAGCGGGCCTGATGGCCCGAGCTTCGCCATATTAATAAAGGCATATTATTATTATTATTATTATTATTATTATTATTATTATTATTATTATTATTATTATTATTATTATTATTATTGATTGCGTCATCACATATTCAGCCAATCGCAGCGAGATAATCGTGAGGTGGTAGCGGTTAACGGAAGAGTCGAGCAGAGTTTTCAAATTTCACAGATGTCAAATAACCGAGGCGTTACTAGAAAGTTGTTTCGCAAAATTAAGTTTGATTCTCCTATGAATGTATGTTCTAATGTTGCTCGTTTTCAAAGTATGTACTCATGCAATAAAGCTTAACATTATAAAATAATTGCATAAACTACTCTATGTGTTTTGAATGAAAACTAAAAGTGTTACCCAGGTACGTCAGCACCATCTCCTGGTGGATGCTGGAGAGGAGTGGAGAGCAATTGAAAGTGAGCTGGTGAAGTCGAGGCCAGAAGCAAATTGAACCAAGTTCCTCGCTCGCCTCGACCTCCCGGCCGTCCCTGCCGAGCTCTCAATTTCTTTTTCTTTCTTTTTCGTTTTTAGAGCTTTTTCCAACCGACAACCGGCTGCCCTTTACGTCCCTACGAGACGCATATTCGCCCATATTACTCGCGGGCTCTTCTGATCTGGTATCAGTAGCCCGCGAGGCCATCCGCGGTAACATATGCATGAGAGACAAGGGGTAATGCTCGAGGCGGGACACGAACCCGCGACCTTTCGAAGCGAAGCGCTGAGTCGCTAGCTCTCAATTCGATTCGCGAACTCTAGCGATTCCTTTTCGAACTTCTTGTTGTTTTATGGCTTTTCGAAAACATTTTTGTTTAAATATACTTACATATTTATTATTTATTCAATTCTTGTCTAAAATATTTGAAATGCAATATTTTTGTTATTTTGCTGGGTAATTGCCGCATAGACGATGATCGGACGCCTCGCTACTTTAATTAAACATCGCTTTACCGATAATAAATTTAAAGATTTCTGTTGAAGAGTAACAAATAAATATATTTTTTTTGATTTTATAAAGACATTCAGCTATTACAAAGAATGAAATTAAGTATATCTTTTTTTTGTCTCATAAAACTGCAAAATAAGAAGCAAATATTGACATTAAATGTCATTGAGTTTTACAAGAGCAACAAATACATTTCTTTAAGCCTACAGCATTTTGATGCCAGTAAAAAATGACCATATATAAATAAATGTCTTTGTACAATTAAAATTGTTACTCAATTATTCAATTATATTATTGAAAAAATAGAGTAAAAGTAATTAAAATTGTTAAATAAAAATCAATTCAATTTGGCAGGAGGTGAACTCTGATGCTATTGTAACTTTTGTTAATTCCACAAACATTTATGAATCCTTAAGGCTTGTGGTGTGAAATAAACAGCATTATATGTTAATATCATAATAAAAATGTAAGTACAGTTATAAACATGTACATTTTTGTGGTGAAAAATTAAAAATTTATTATCAATGTTAGTTTCAAAATATTGAACACAGGACTTGGGTGTGAAGTAAACACTCAGCAACAAGTAACAAGTAACATAAGAAATGTAAATGTATATTTCAGAGTTTCTTTCAAGAGAATGTACCAAATATTATATTTTTCACCCGTTATCCATGCCTCCTCAAATTCTACCAATATTCAATATTGTTTGTATTTGTAGCTTATCATAACTCCCCCACTTCTCTCCCTTTTAGCAGTCACAAGAAGGAGATTAGGGATTGATCCTTAGAAATAAATTAATTTATATTCACTGATATTGTGAATATGAAATGAAACTTTCAATATGACTCTAGGGAAATACTATTCATCTGTATATTAAATTTTAAGTGAAATATTCAAATATTTAGTGTGTTTATGGTAGTGTTCATCAGTTGAGATTCTACAATCCAAAAGAAGAGAACATCTTTTTGTCATTTTCGTAAGCTCAAGCCTAAAAAAAAGTTTAAACTAGATTGGTGTAATTTGGCAGTTATTATTTTCTTAGATAAAATGCTTATGTCTTGGTGAAACCTTGCCTTTATTTGTCAGTGCCAGCAGAACCCCCCAACAGACTCGTGTGTAATCATACACTTGTAGTGCAAAGGTTTCACTATTGCAATGTTTCTTTACCAGGGAGAAGTGCTAATAACTGTCGTAGGTGTTCATACAGGGGAGCCAGGAGGGGCATGATCCCACTGAAAATTTTGAAAGAGGCCTGTAGCCATACGTGATAAATATTTTATTCTTTAAACATGTAAATCCCTGATATGAGTGACGTACAGAACCTCTAGATACGTTTTAAAATTCACAGTAAATATAACAAAACAATGGATACATATTGTATCCATACATTGTTACCCTAACTATACATTTGACACTTTGGCATTTTATTTGTTATAAAAGTCAACTCTAGCTGTGCTGAAGACATTAACTCATACCATTGTTATTTTTCAGTAACTATTTTTTATATTTATTTATGCTGCTTTTAATTCCTTAACTGTATGAAATCAAATTGAAAGTATTGAATGAAAAATATAAAATTAAATTTATGAACATTTTAAAATTTTCCAAAAAATTAGGAAAAAATTAGGTAAAAATTTGGAAATAATATGTCGGGTACCTAAATTGTATTGGTAACAAACAAAAGTAGTAAGAAACTTGGTAACAAACTTTTGACTGCAAACTAAAAGAGGACCAACTTAGTTGAAAGGAGCTAGAGCCAAGAAAGCTATGGCCAAGTTAGATTCCTTCCTACCTACAACGGTCCAGAAATATATTTCAAAAAATGACTTAAAATTGTTGTACAAGAAAAAGGTCACGTGTAAGCTTAAAAATTAAAATGGAAAACAGGGCCCAGAAATGTAATTGGCCTCCTTCTTTAAGGTTGTGCATGTCTGTGCTCTCACAATTATTAGAGTTAAAAATGAAGAGTTAATTTTAAAATTCAATTTTGCTCTTAGGACCAGCATTGATTTATTATTGGATTTTGTGTTAATTTCAATCTGTTCTAAATTGTTTAGATATAATGAATACCCCTAATGTCATTCTGAAACTCTTACCAAATTTAGATCTAAAGTTTGGCACGAGTTTCACTCAAGTTTTTTCAATAGATCTGTCTTTTTTCTCACAATTATTTCCACTATTTCTTTTTATAGGCACTGTGATTTATTTACATAAATAATTTTGGAAGAGAAGAATAGTATATAATAAGAAGAAGATTCTCTTAAAAATTGTAAAATTATAACTACAACGTACTGTGCTTAAATTAACATCTATAAACTTTACTGAATAGTCTGCAATATTTACATTTACACAATATTAACAACTATATATTTTTATAAACGTAATTTATAAATATTTTATTTACAACTGACTATAACAAAACCATAACATGCGTTTAGATATGCCACATATAAATCTCGACATTTAATTGCACAGCATCACAAGACTGGACTGGAAGCTACTTCTTTTTCATATTTACAGTGTATGTCTACCTCATTCAGTCTTTTGAATTTCTAATGCCTTAACTGGCCAACAAGAAACAGATATGTTTTAAATAACATGTAAAGCATTTGCAATCGTCAATTATGGTAATATGACCGTATGTAAATTTAGAATAATATTACTCATTTATGAGGTTGCTTTCAGCACTTTTGTCACTTGTGAGTACTGGCAATAACATATGCTTTATCAATATCATTTTTTCAAATTTTTTCAGCAATGAAACATTTAGTCAGAAGCATTCATCATTCATCAGACATCTTGCTTTAATTTTAAAAATGATTTTTTAAGATATCATGTGGATGAGGAAAAGTCAACCAATATTTTATATTCATCCTTCTTCAAACACCATGAACTGTTTCATACTACACAATATGTAAACAAAGCTACACTTTCAATCTCAACACTTGATAATGTTGGAAATAAAATAAATATCAACAATAATCTGATAATTGACAATTAAATATTTCCTTAAAAAATCATTTTTAATCGTTAAACACGAACAAGAGTCAGTTTGTACCATTTTAATATATAAATTTTATTGAAAATAGAAAACCAATGTAATGATTCTAAGGTGCATACTTAATTTGTGGTATAATTTATCAAGACAAAGATTAAAGAGATATTTGGAAGGAGTACTTGGACGATCCAAGATTTTTTCTTATAAATTTCTAGTCTACGGTTTTTATGTTGTTTGTGAAAAAGGTATTACAGATATGCAGGCTTGAGGTATTTTGTCTCAGCACACAATGAAAGAGCATTTAGGGAAAGAAAACAAAACCTTTTAAATTTGCTCTAATTTGACATGTTCTAAAATTTGTACCAATGAAGCATTATTATAATAACATTCTCTATTAGAATGGAATGTATATTCTATATTATACTTTCATGTATAATAACATTTTCTGTTTTCCCTTTATTCGATCAGAATACTTTAGTCTTACATATGGTACCAATAAAAAAAGACATTTTTGTACACATTATGTGTCCTAATATTACTAATACAAATGCATGCAAGAGTTTTAGGCCTGCAGTTATAATTGGAAGAAACATTGATGGGAACTTGTCCAAATTTAATGATGTAATGTGTGCTTCTAAGACAATATTAAGGAATACAAGAATCTCATTTTTGGTAGACATATGAGGAAGATAGTATGCAACCTTATAGAAACAAAGAAAGGCAATTTATTAAAGCATATCTGTGAAAAAGGAAACAATATGCAAGATGTGAAACTATTTTCATACACCATAAACATGAATATAAAATGTGAAAGTGATTTAAAAATGTTATTATATACATGTGTTATTCAAATAAATAATAGATGAACAAGTAAAACATTCAACATGGAATGATACAGATAATTTCATAGAAATTTAACTTATATTCACAACCATGATAACATTAAATCTATTTTCTTAACAATATGCAATAATTTAAAGAAAACTGTCTCACACATTCCTTTGAAATGCAGTCTATTCACAATTGACTTTTAACGAGGATCTGTTTTTAAAAGAAGTTAGAATGCATTGTTGCAATTTGCCCCAGGGTCTTTCCAGTTAGTCTCTTGTAAATTCCATCAAAGGGATTTTACAAGGTACCAAAGAAATTTTCAATATTGGCCACTTATTTATATTCCTAATTCTCTTGTTTAACTCATTTCATGATTTTGCTTGAGATCTTGTGTATCTCAGTGTTAAAAATTTTAGACGATGACCATTCTCTAGAATTGCACAAAAATACAGCTCTCGTTGTTGCTTTCAAAATGGAAGAATGTTCCTCATTTGGTTTCTTAAAAAAAAATCTTGTGGTAACTTTAGTCCAATTGAAAAGTCTTTGTTGTTATCACAAAATGATAAGGTACATTTGTTTACTGTATCCATCCCTGTGACACCTGCATCTTACAGCATACAAACAAGACTTGAGACACTTAACACAGAAAGAGAGCATTATAGCAGATTTGGATCAGAACAAGAAACATAAAACATTCAGACAGCTAAATAACACGCCATGGATTAGAAATAAAACACATAAATACTTTCATCTCGTCTAATACATATTTGAAGCCAGGAAATTATGTTTACATTGGGAATTGCTTATTGACATCATTGGGGACAAGATAAAGAAACGCATCCTAAGATCACGTTTATTGACATTGACTGGATGTCGTCTTAGATAACTTTATTGATATATTGATATTGCAGTAGTTTGAAAGACAAAAGATTAGATATATTCTTTAGAAAATTTATTTTTTATTGATATGAATGAAATTGTTTCCTATTACATTTTATTCTGCTATGCTTCTCTCTAACTACTAAATATTTTTGTAAATTTTCAAAATTCTGTTTTAAATGTACTCTTACGTATTGTTTGGAATGTCTTGTTTGTTCACAGGGTGGATAACTTACGTCATGTCTTATGATTACTCTCCTTGGAGCCCTCAGATATCTGAGAATGCCTCCCTCTTTTATCCCTCCTTTGACTAGTTGCACTTCTCCTTTTAAAGACTTCAGGCGTCCCTGTTTGGCTGTTTGTGTCCTCCGAGTCTGTGCCCATTTCGACGGTTGTGTGGTGTTTAGCTATATTGTTTATTTCTCCGTAGCTCAGGTCATCCCCAAGCTCCGCTGTGAGATCAAGCACCATGCCGCCATTGGGAATACGCTCGTCTTCCTCATCATCTTTTCGGGCGGCCACCTGTGTGGGAATGCAAGCGTTTATTCAGTTTGTCAGAAGCCCCCATCTCACTCAGAGACTCGTGCTCTGTATGCCGTTCACTGCTTTAGCTTCTTCTGAAGTACCCACCTTCAAGATAGTCTCGGAATCTTGAAGAGCCTGCTTGGCCAAATACCTTTCTCGTTTGATTTTTAGTTCAAGACTTTCTGGGATGTCAGGTACAAGCACATCAATTAGGCGGCACACTCCGAACACCACATGCTGAAGTACAAAAGTGCAGCATTATTATGACTGAAAGAACTATAAAATAAGAATAATGCCAATATTGTCTCTTTGTGAATTAATTCATAAACTGCATCATCATTTTAATAGTGTAAGAGACTATTTCGACTTCATGTACTAAAGCTAAAAGAATAATTTTTAATATGAATGATTTAGATGTAGTTTTTTGGTTTTGTTTACTTTGTGTCTGATTTTCACAATTTTTTTATATTCATTCATTATTATTACATCTTATAGTTTGTGAATTTTTGTAAATATAAATAAAAAAATATAGTTTTCATTATTCAGTATTTTCTTAAGCAAGTTATTTGAAAATATAAATACCAATCATGTGATTGAAATCGATAATTATAAATGCTTGTGATTTCAGGACTCCCATCTTGATCGGAGTTCTCAGCCAGTGACGGAACAATCCTGAGAGTGAATGCAGTAAGTTTTCTTTTGGACAGTAAATGTAACTATATTCTCTCCAATTTTCATGCAGAGTACTTTGCTTTTTAACACAATTATTCTGCATTATTATTTATACATTTTCTAGTTTGAATCATATTAGCAATTTATATTTCATAATCTACTTTTAGAAGATTCTAGCATTAAATTCTACATATGTAAATATTTGTTATGTAAATAATTTTGAATCTATTAATTAAATAGTTTTATGAGAAAGTTTCAAGTTTGAAAAATATCTTGGGAAAGATTATTGGTTCACAAAATGTAAGTGCAAAATGTAATGAATAGCAACTAAAAAATTTGTAACAAAGTCTCTATGAACACATTAATTTAAAAACACAATCTTTTCTTTTACATTGAAACCGTCATAAGTATATTTTGTGATTAACATCTGTTGCACATTTCACAATAATTAAATAAGTTAATATTATTAAGAAAATATTAACTTAATAATATTAATATCATGAACTCTTTAATTACCTCAAAAACAATGACGAAGGCAAACCGCACTGCAAGTAATCTCCAAAAGAAAGGCGTATGCTTGCCTTGTTCATCCCGAAGCCCACGATACCGACAGGGCATGTTTGTTGTACCTTCCGGCGCTTGTGCCAGTGTGAAATTAACATATCCCACCAAGTCCCAGTCATACTCGTATTGATAAAGCAGCTTCGGGAGAAACTCCGAGGTGAAGGCTATCAAGAATCCCTTGAATCAAAAGACAGTGCAATTAGCAAACAGTAGATAAGTCATGTTAATTTAAGTGTAGCCAGAGATTATACATTTGCAAAACCTGGAAATTTTTCTATGTATCAAAATGTATTTATTATTATTTTTGCTTTATTCACTTCCCAGAGTGTTGATAGATAAAATATTTCGAAGGTGGGCAATGCAACGCACTACTGTACCATTTTTGAGTATGAGTCATGAATGAAGTTTTATCATTAAGTTTATTACACTTTATCAGTAAGTGTGTAGAAGATGTTTGTTAAAACAAGAAAAGAGAGAAGGTGAAAGGAACATTGTCCAACTATTAAGGCATGTACTGCCCAAATTCAATTAAATAGAATAGTGTGTATCATTGCAAATAATGGTTTTGTTGTAAAAATATCTGGTAGCTTAACTTTGAATTATGAAATGTTGCTTCCATGAAGACTTTTACTTATTAAATGTTTGTTATTCAATGACAATTAAATAAAAATTCAACATTTATTTGACTTTAAATGTCTACAACCCATGAATTATTGATTTCAGTGTCAGTTGTCATGAAATTTGATTCATTAAAATAAAAATATTTAAAAATACAAATTGAAAATACTGCACTTGAAAATTGTCAAACAATTTGAATTATAGTTTCCTTCACTTTGTTTTCTCATTAAACACCCCTATAAAACTAAACCCCCCTTAAAATAAATAATTTGCTTGGGACATTACTTTTCAATACCTTAAATACTGTAGAGCATAGCCAAACATTTCTGTTATAAACTTCTTAATGTTTATTGTAAAAAAGAACAAACTACCAATATTACGTACAAGACGTTTTTCTTATCATTGTCGATCATATCTCATTCCACCAATTTTGCCAGAAAACCGATAGTGAAAATTGATAGGGTATTTCCTAATTGATGTAGCACAGTTCCCTAGCTGTAGCTAGATTTGCTTATAAGGAATTAAGTTCGTATTTTGTATATGGTAGTTGTGATGCATGATATTTCACATTGATAAAAATAACAAACATAATGATTTCCTTGCGCAAGGCAATGGCTGGAAGCCAAGAAGGCTGAATACTTATGCACAAATGCCGCTCAATGCAATGATAATTTTAGAGAAGAAAGAACGTTTTTATTTTGTATTGCCCTTCATTACCATATGCTTGCCACATGGGGGAGGGGGGGTGAGGTAAAGCTAAAAAAAATCTCCGGAAAATTAAAAGAATGCAAACAAAAATTCCTCCGCCACAAAATAAATGCTCCATAAATTGCAACAAATGACCACATGAAAAAAACAAAAAAAAACCAAGCAATAAAAATATTGTCAGAAATATTATTAATCCGAATTTACGTCATTTTAAAAAACTGTCTTCACGAACTATTTCAACATGGGAACCTGAACATATCTTTCCCCACGAATCCGCTTACGCCATTATAGACTTGCTACATCCTTCTAATCATCTCCATTAAAACAATTATAAAATTATTAAATTACCGCAATAGTTTCAGCTTTATGCGAAAATACTTGTAGTGTTAAAGGGAAAATCAATTCATGCAACTTGAATGCGATTGGAACAATATTCAGAGTACCCTTTTTGAGGTAAACACAGAAGCTTACATGATCCCGCAATTTGTGAAAAATATACGATTAAGAGCTTGAAAGGTGGAAGTGACGAAGAAGGATAAAATATTTATTATTCAGGTGGGTAAAATAGGCCATTTGGTGCCAGTTCGTTATTCACAATTGGGAAAGAGCTTAAGCTCTTTAATGCAATTGAATAAATGACTAACGAGAACATAAGGACATGTTACCCACGTGAAATATATGAATTATGATCCTTTTTTTTTAATATTATGATATTTTCTAGCAGTATGCCTGCTATATAGGTATTGGTTCGGACGACAGTGATATGTGGTATGAATGTTGACTTCGACGATATGAATAGCATTTGCTGGTATGCTACATTTGCGCCGAGCGGACATTCAAAGCAAGACGCAAAGGAAGCAGAATGGAGACGATTGAAGAAACTCCCGAAAGTAGTAGATAATCGCCGCTAAGGCCGTGGAGGAAGAAGAAGGAGAAGAAAGAGGAGAAAAAGAATGTCTTTTATGGACGTTCTTTCATATTTGCATAAAATAATGTTTGGGTGTGAATCATATTGTTGAGTACGGTATCGTCTTCTCTCTTGTTTATGATAAGAGGCTACTTTAATACTGGTCTGTAATAAAGAACCATTTTATACACTCCGAACGCGTAAGTGAACAGCGTACACAGGCGATAGGATAAGATATATATTAGAAAAACAAACTATTTGTATAGTTTTTTTTTCAGATCTTTCAGAAACGTTAAGAGTTGACGTACTTTCATTATGCTCAAATAATGTCTTAAAAATATAAAGGATAATTGTAAAATTTTACAAAAATTGTAAATTACAGTTTACATAAAAAGTCACGCAACAACAAAATGATTACAGCAGAAGTAAATTCAGCGCTCAAAATTGAACTTTGTCACCTGTCCAATCTTGTTTCGTAAAATCATCGCAGGACTGTGATATACTTAAGATAGGTTTTAAGTTTTTATTTTCAAATAACACGGAGCTTATAATACATGCACAAAGTATACGGAGCACCACTCACATTACTGATAACTGCCAGATGAGCAAGCATGTCGAGGATTTTGAACCAGATTCCAATGTTTTCCGCTCTTTCTGCCACCATGCGGCGCGTTTCACAAACAAACTTCTGAGCATCCAGTCTTATTTCCACCCAGTTGTTGAGGAGGGCAAAGAACGGAGCTAAAGGAAAGGCCGCTACAAAGATGGTGATGAATCCAAACTGCAACACTGAAAACAAATTTCATTTCGGTTAAAAAAGATTTTCGAGAATAATATTTAGGATAATAATTTTGACATACAAACATCGCTATTACGATTTTAAAAATAAAAATTTACCAACCTATAATCAATAATATCTACATTTTTAAGTTTGTTCTAAATGTACTTGAAAGCTTACAGAAATTTAAAAAAGTGCTGTGTTGTGAATAGTTACATCTTAACATCAATTTTTGAGAGTGAATTCTGAGACATGTTAAATTAAATTTAAATGGAGTGCATTTGTCTTCCATCTTACCCATTTCTAAATACTCTTGAAATAAGCCTTCATTGTCAATTAACTGATAATCCTCTTCCCATCGCGTTTTGTGCTTCTTGCTGAGTTTTATCTGTAAACGAAAATAATCAGAAATGACCGTCGGTCACCCTCGTAAATCGTAAGTGCTAATAAATCGAATTGTTGTGCAATGTTTTAAAGTCTCAATAACGGATGACAACTACGATGACAGACTAGAAGGTATATGGATATCCATGAATGACATGCGAATGTAAGCTTTATTAACAAACACAAAGTGGAAATTAATCATTAAGGTAATTTATTTTCCATTCAAAGACATCATATAATGACATGAAACTACATTAGATTTAATTAAGCATAATTTAAATGAAATTTTTTTGTACAGTGTAGATTAATTTCAAATAGAATATTCTTCGTGGTTACGAAGTCTGTTGGAGTCGTGTATTTTCGAGGCAAAAAATTAATACTACAACAAATTAACAAACAAACTCCTTCGTTAGGGAAGAAAAAACAATTATTACAAGTCGCTGTTTTGCGTCAAGTAAAAGATCCTAAATTTCCAAAGTCGCCTTTGAACTAATTTCTAAGTTCGTTCGTTGCCGTATTTATAGGTCCTTCGCTCTTCTACACCGCGTACAAATCGACACTCAGGGCAGGATTTGTCTTTTGCGGCAGTATCTCTACGAGAGACTCGTAGTGGAATTGTCACTGCTTGCGGACTCGTTTGAGCGAGGGAAGGACCAAGGACGTAGCTTCTGGGGGCTGTGCAACTGTCAACTGTTGCGCAATTTGCACCTTAAGCATGTAGCGCGATTTTATTCTAAGAGCATTTCCCTTTACCGAAGGCAAGGTTACATCATCCTATACTGCGATTTTTCTAACTCTGCCCCCCCCCAAGCGCTCTCAAGGCCCTATTTCACAGCGTCATTATGTCACAGTTTTTCACATCTTTCTCCGTCGCCTTTTTGTCCGCCAGATGTCGCATGATCCATACCGTATAGCAGTGCTGGCTACGATCGCGATCATGTTCCATCCAGTGACCTGAGAAAGACACGACAAACAGTGACACGTAATGCCACAGCGAAGTAAGGCCTTGAGGGCGCCTAAGGGCCAGGGTTGGAAAAATCGCAGTCTAAGCGACCGAAGGCATGTTGCCCAGTGGCAACCGATAACAATAGAATGGTAGCAGCACAGCCATCGATCAAACGTTTTTTTTCTACTCGATTCACCGATAGATAGTATTGTGTTGACAGATCTGCTTCCTATAAGAGAGTAAAGAATACTGCAAAACAAGTCTAACCAAATTCATTGCCGACATTGAGATCATTGGCGGTGAAAGAGTTCGTCTGCGAGAACAACAATAATTTAAAAGCAACATAGAATAGAATATTCACCTTTCTCTTCTGCCACCAAGCCTTCATCTTGGGCACCAGGATTTCTTGTGCGTTATTGATGATCTGTTTGCCGATCATTATGACCGCCAGCTGCTGTGCAAGTTCAATAAGACAACCGCCTGCGTTGCACTGAAACATCGCACGGAGATATTGAAGGCCAACGTACATCTCTGTATACGTAGTCATCCAGCCGCATTTCCCAATGGCGCGCCATGTTAGGTAACTCACATCCTCGTTGCGCAGTTTCAGAATGAGAGTGTAGTTCCCTGGATAACCCACAAAGCGGCCCTTGAAGAACGCGATGTAGAAAATGGAGGAGTAAAAGTTCACGAATTGGAAAATGAATACTTTGAATGTCAGGTTGTCATCGAACTCTGTTTGTGTGCGGTGCATTTCTGTGGACAAAAAGAAACAAGCTGTTGATGAAAATCATAGTAACTTTCAGTGCCATTTCAATTATGTTCACTACACGCTTGTACGCTGAACGGTGGCAAGACAAGTTCAGCGATGCGAAACCACTCTCTTCTTGCGATGGATTTAGTTTAATGCGTCATCGCTTGTAATGAGGGCCTCCGAAGAGTATTGGCTGCCGTTTCTAATGTGCGTAATTGGGGGTGTACTATGGAATATAACTATCTAACTTCATGTCGGTCATTATTGTGTATGTTTGTGATCCCTCCGTGAAAATAAAATCGATCGTTGTTATTATGGAGGATAACATAAAGTAACTCGAAAACAAGTGTCATTGGAATTAGGACTGTGTGGCATTGATATTGAATGAAGTTTTGTGACTTACACGTCTTAAAATGATAGTACCAACACCGTACAGTTATACGTTTTATTAAAAAAATATTATTTATGCGTAAAAAGTTGTTAAATGTAGACCAAGATAAGCTCTTAATACTGAATGATAAGATTATCTACGGTAAAGAAGCATAGTTATGATTGACACTTTCTGATATGTTGAAATCAAGAAATTTACATGCGGAAAGCTGGACAAGGAAACATTCTTGAGAACATTATTAGATTCTATTCAGTTTTGTGTAAGCGAAGATAATATTCGTTCCACTCATCACCTTGTCCAGTCCTGGAATTTTGAATACTCTTCTGAAGAGAAAATTGCCAATTCCCATTCTGTGGTACCTGGTATATTCTGTGTAAGCCACTAATGAATTTTGACAATATACACTAGTATCTATTATGTTTTGTCTGTTGTGATTGAAACGTTTTAACCTCCCAGTACTGTCTATGTATGTTGAGCAAATCAAAAATTGCTTCAACTTTTCGATCAGACAAACGGTATACATGCTACAGAGATTTGCGTTACGAACTTAGTGTTAGAAATTATGTGCACAATTTCAGTTGAAAAATAATTCTTTAACAAGATGATGGATTTATTTGGCAATAATCTTGTGATTGTTTTCTTACGCGATTACTATCCTCTGTTAGATTTTGTGTCTGATTTGGTGACGTATATTGCATGCAGATCCACTGTTCATTCAACATCATAGTTTAAAGTAGCCTACAGTGTGCTGGGAATAAAAATCGAGATATGAAATCTTATTTTTACACTAGTTATTCTATGAAGACAGCACAGGTAGGGATGGATGTGATGGGGTGGATAACGGAATGGAATGTTCCATGCATGAAGAAGTTGATACAAAGGACGGAAGGTGTAAAATGTCAATTTTGCGAGCGTATTTTCTGAAGACCCCAAATGCATACTTTTTTCCCCGCAACAACCCACCGTATACGTCGCAAAATTAACATTTTTTTTAAAAAAAAAGAAAGGCAAGCTGCTATAAAAGAGCGAGAGCAGGCCGACGCACCCCAGGCCGTGAGCTTGAAGGCCAGCTTCTCGTAGACGCGGCTCATGGCCATGATGAGGCAGAGGTTGACGACGGCGCCGGTCACGTTGGCGATCGCTTGTGCCTGCGAGCGGAAGGTGGCGTTTTGGAACAGCGGGATGGACACCAGCACCCGGTAGATGATCACCGCCACTATGAAGATTATCACCAGCGAGATCTGCGGACAGACAGGGCACACACTGCTCATGACATGCCATCTTATTAAAAACTCAACCCCCTACATTAACAGGAGAGTAGGAGGCGGTGGTGATGATAGTGATGGAGGGAAAGGCGGCGATGGCTCATGAAGGCAGTGACGGAAGGATGCAGCGATGATGGTAGTGGTGATGTAGGTGATGTGGAGGGAGCAGTGACAGAAGAGGTGGTGGAGGGAGCAATGACAGAAGGGGTGGTGGATGGAGCAGTGACAGAAGGGGTGGTGGAGGGAGCAGTGATAGAAGGGGTGGTGGAGGGAGCGTTGTTGGAGCTGGCGGAAGAAGTGGTGAGGGAACTGTTGGAGGAAGCGTTGATGGAGCTGACGGAAGAAGTGGTGAAGGAGCTGTTGGAAGAAGCGTTGATGAAGCTGGCGGAAGAAGTAGGGAGGGGGCTGTTGGAGGAAGCGTTTATGGAGCTCACGGAAGAAGTGGTGAAGGAGCTATTGGAAGAAGCGTTGATGGAGCTGGCGGAAGAAGTGGTGAGGGAGCTGTTGGAGGAAGCGTTGATAGAGCTGGCGGAAGAAGTAGTGAGGGAGCTGTTGGAGGAAGCGTTGATAGAGCTGGCGGAAGAAGTGGTGAAGGAGCTTTTGGAGGAAGCGTTGTTGTCGCTGGCGGAAGAAATGGTGAAGGAGCTTTTGGAGGAAGCGTTGTTGTCGCTGGCGGAAGAAGTGGTGAAGGAGCTGTTGGAAGAAGCGTTGATGGAGCTGTTGGAGGAAGCGGTGGTGGAGCTGGGGAAAGAAGTTGTGAAGGAGCTGTTGAAAGAAGTGTTGTTGTCTCTGGCGGAAGACGTGGTAAAGGAGCTGTTGGAGGAAGCGTTGTTGTCGCTGGCGGAAGAAGTGGTGAAGGAGCTGTTGGAGGAAGCGTTGATGGAGATGGCGGAAGAAGTGGTGAATGCGCTGTTGGAGGAAGCGTTGATGGAGCTGGCGGAAGACGTGCTGAAGGAGCTGTTGGAAGAAGTGGTGAAGGAGCTATTGGAAGAAGTGGTGAAGGAGCTATTGGAAGAAGTGGTGAAGGAGCTGTTGGAAGAAGTGGTGAAGGAGCTGGTGGAGGAAGCGTTGATGGAGCTGGCGGAAGAAGTGGTGAAGGAGCTGTTGGAGGAAGCGTTGTTGGAGCTATTGGAGGAAGCGGTGGTGGTGGCGGTGGCGGTGGCGGTGGCGGGAGAGGTGACGGAGGTGGTGTCGGAGGGAGCGTTATCAGAGTTAGTGGGGAAAGCGGTGACGCAGCGGTGGGTGATGGCGGTGACGCACCATGAGGAAGATGATGCCTATGCCCGCCGCGATGCGCTTGTGGCGCAGGTGCGAGGGGAAGGAGGGCTCGCGCACGCCCGTCACCGGGTTGCGCTCGAGGAAGGGCGCGCGGGCGGCGAACTCCGGGCGCGGCCGCTCCTCCTCCTCCTGGAAGCCCATGCAGTCCCAGTGGTGCGCCAGGCTGGCCGACTTCCGCTTCCAGTACTCTAGGAACGTCACCGCTGCAACGACAAGCATCTCTGTTACCACATTGCTTTAGCATTTTGTTTAAATTTGGCGATTTACCCTCTAATAACCAGTAATAAGCTCTCGTGACTGGCTGTTGGCCAGCGTGCTAGCTTTCCACTAAGCGGCTCCGGGTTCGATTTCCGGTCAGGCAAGAGTTTAGTGTGCGTTTTCCTTGCAATGTCCCAATGTATGTTGCTGTGTGACGAAGAGAAAATTCACTTCTCAAGTTGAGAAGACCGGAATACGGCGTGGGGATGTCTACGTGCTAACCACACGTACCCCCTTAACCCATGGACTGCGAGGCAGGGACGTTGCCGGTAGGCCTCAGCCCGTTCACGGGCTGTCGCGCCAAGTACATACAAGCTCTTTTTATTTCTTTGTTTTTATTTCTTTCCTAAATTCGGAGTGTAGTTGCGGGGAGAGAAAAAAACATGCTTGATAATATTCCACATTTATAACGGAGCCCTTCACTATGAGCGCTGCACTGCACTGACAGGGAAACGTTTTAAACACGGGAACTTTTCAAGAAACAGAGATATCCAAAAGAATCGTTTGCATTGTTCAAACGCGAGCATAGTTGACAGTCTTTGCCCGCTACGTAATTTATGCTCCGTGAATGCATGCAGAAACACTCGATCCTTAAACATGGAGACATCTGTTGACGTGAACTAACTGATATTTGGTAAAATCATGAAACGTCAATAAGGTGACACACAATATCGTTTCTGAAATATTTAGTGTTTAAAAACAGATTCAAATGCTTGCATTAGCTGAAAACACGATTTAGCTGAAAACTGATGATGATCATTATTAGCTGAAAAAATGATGTTGAAAACATTTCTTCCAATATTACTGGGTGTTGTTAGGATGCGCCAGTCGAAATTTCTTCTTTAATACTCTCCCAACAAATTCTAACGACTATTTTGAAGCCTTAACACTTTTCAAATTCGCTGCATGAAGCTAAGCTCGAAGGTTTACAAAGAATGTACAGAAAGTGAAGAATAATTTTCAAAAATTCGGATTATAAAAATTAAGAAAATATTGAAAAGCACTCATGGAAATCTTCAGATACGTACAGTACATTCGAGTTTTGAAAAATATACTACATTTGGAAAGTATTTGATAGTTGAAATGCTCGAGATTCTCAAAAATATGTTATATATGTATATATAATAGAACTACATTTCGAAAACACGATTTGAAAATCCAACGAATTGAAATTAAGTGACATTAGGAAACGCAACAATTCTTCGATAAGATTTCAGATTTTACTTTCCAAATAATCTTGGAAAAGGTTCGAAAATTTGATAATTTAGGAAAGGTTTCAGAAAATTAGAATGTGAACCATATATTTCGGGAATCTTCTTAAGTTTGATTTTTGAATAACAAATTTGTGATTTCTTTCCATTTTTAAAATGGAAATCTATTGTACTTTAAAACTGGCAGAATGCAGGCAATTAGTCTTTTGCTATGCGAGTTTTATATTCCTATGTGGAATAAATAAAATTATGTAATAAAGTTAAAAGAAATCATTGAGAATCTTTAAATTTTTACTTTTTAATGTTTAAAGAATACTTCGCAGATTTGAAATGTTTATTATACTGGTTAAATAAAACTGTTCTTTCTTGCGATACGAAAATGGAACCTATATTTTTGAATTAGGGGGAAGAGATTCCTAACTGTTGTCATACGCACTCGAATGTATCACCGATTGTAATATGAAAATTCTGTAAAATATTACAATACTATGACAAAAATTGGCATACATTTTACATACTTACTGTCGCAAGTGCATAGCGGAGAATTGACCACTTCGCATCATTCTAGTATACCAACGTGTCTAGTTATGTTATGTTAACTTCCTGGGAGAGTTTTTTCCAACGTAGTAATGATTACGCATTTACAATTTGTGTTTTTATTATGTGCGAGGACATTAAATAAAGCAAATAAAAAGAGATAGTATATGGATGCTGTGACGTTGAATTCTTTGCTAATCTGTTGTCCCTTTCCAATTCGATTTACACACGAGGTGGTCTTTGAACTTTGGCAACTTCATGTGGAAACGGCGTCTACTTGGCACAGTCCACTGTAAAGTTATCTCTTTCATGATTACTCCATGACGTAACGCTAAACGTGACTAACCCATTGGCGTCCTTTGTTTGCAATGGCTATAAAATCCAGTGTGATGAATATCCTGTAGTTTGTAAAAACTACTCTCCTAAATATTGTTAAATGTGTCATTACCAAGTCTAATTGGCCAGAACATATGGTGAAGCTAGACCATCTTTTGGCACGTTAGAAATTAATATACGAAGGAGAAATGTAGAGATAATTTTTAAAATTTATAAAATTTTAAAAGTAAAATAATGGAATATAATATTTTTAAAATGGAAAAGAAGCACATAACGAATTCTTCTCATTTGCATGAGAGGTTGTACGGGGACACTCAAAATTTCTCTGCCACTTACCCACGGTCAATAAGACGTTTTATAAATATTTTTATTGAATTCGAATTTAGAATACTTATGTGAGAGCAGTGTCGGTGGCATCCTTAAAACCAGTGTAAGTGTGTTTAGTCACAGACGTTGTAACTTCAAATTTACATACAGAAAATTAGTGAGTGTAGGTCATGAGTGAGTGTAAATAGTTATTTAAATCTTTTGTTTGCATTTGACCCACATTAGCGAAGAAGTAACTTGTTTGAAATTGGCTTTCATCTGGATCATTTGTTCTTATTTGACCTACACATACAATGATTTGGATAATTTGTTTAAATCTTACGTACACTGAATAATTTGGCTGTATAAATTAATACACAAGATCAAGAGTGATAACACGCATATCATTTATGTTTCATGAATTCAAATTTTAAGTACATATATTTTTGGCTTTTTTCATTCATATGAGTGACAATATTTATCTGGGAGCTGCGCTGGCGACTCCTTTAACATCGTTATCAAGTGATTGTCATCGAAGTTCTTCAAGTCTTCAAAGTCGAACTGCATCAAATAATTTTATGTCCTTTAGAAATTTGAAGACATATGCGAGATAGTTTAATAATTTGGAAAGGATATTGTGTGAATGTGTCAAACGTAAGTCTGAATACACTGGTGCACTAATAAGATATGCTGGATAGTTATAGGGATATTACATGATCTACAAAGTAATGGAAATTCTTTCTTAAAAAGATCTGAGTGGGTAAGATGGCAAAGTCCTATTCGAAGTCTTGCGAGAGTAGATGTCAAATTTTATGTTGAAAGATTTGACAGCTTACATTGAAGTTGAAAGGGTTTTAAATGCCAGAGTGACCTTCGAGTAGCTCACTTGTCAGCGTGCTCCCTTTCCATGAGGCGTTCCCGGTTTCGATTCCTGGTCGGGGCAGATTGTAGTGTGCGTTTTCCTTGCAATGTCCCAGTAAATGTTGCTGTGTGGCGATGAGAAATGTTACTTCTCAGGGCGACAAGATCAGAACACGGCGTAGGGATGTCTATATGCCAACCACGCGCGCATTCGCAAAGCCGGGACACCACTGGCAGGCGTTGGCCCCTAAGGAACTGTTGTGCAGACTCACCCCAGAAGGAGACGAAGATGGCGTAGAAGACGGTGCCCGGGTGGTCGAAGAGGTAGGCCACCTGCGCGTACCCACACACATCACTCAAGTTCCAATACTTGCAGCCGATGTCCTCGTTGCACAGCGGGCACATCTGCAGGGACTGGCCCTGCGTGCACACCTCCACGGCCAGGCGGTTGGTGTGCATCGTGCACACGCCGTACAGGAACACCAGCACGCCGACTATGGCTGCAGGCAGCAGCCAACCCGTGTAGAACCCTGAAGTGAGGAATAACATTAAGGACGTTATAAATTTATTTAAACCGCAATTGGATATAACCCTATGCCAGCTAATTACATAAATAATAAAATATGAGTGAATTATATAATAATAATAATAATAATAATAATAATAATAATCAGGCAGTGATGGCCTCCACAATTATTGGCTCAAAAAATTTACCAGCACTCACCATCATATAGCT